TCGAATGTTCATAAAGTTTTTATCGCGATGAAGAATATTAATTGAATTTAGCTGGAAATTTAGAATTTTTCTTTTGCAGTCAGTGAAAGAGTAGTCGTTAAACTTAAGCACACTTCCTCGTCTTTAAAGATTGCCTCAGGTTTTTTCCCCGTATAATTTTTAAGAAGCAGAGACAAAGATTTGGACTTGACGTCAGTCAGTGGAAAATTTTAAGGAAAAGCTCCTGAGGAGAAAGTCAAGTCCTATAAGGAAAATGTGAGATAGTTTGCTTCGCCGAGGAAATTAAAATGAATGCGGCGTAATACAGCAGTTGCGGTTTGCACTTTCATTATTCGCGTAAGTGATTTTCAACAGGTTTTTGTCCAGCCACTCATCCACTTGGTACTAAGCAAGACGATTAATCTTCGCAGTGGTTAAATCAAATTACATTTATGTTCACATTTTGTGATATAGCTGGCTTAGAGACGGCAAAGAGGCTTTCGAGGCATCCCTTGGAGATTGTCTAAATTTGACTTTTCCCGCTACTTTTGAGTAATAAATTAACATTCAATATACCCGACGGAAACACATACATGATTTTTAGAGATTTTCTCACACGCTGACTTACACAAGTCAATGTTGAATGCAGACGAATACATATGATCCACCTTTAAAATATATTCATAAACAAAACGTTTTAAAAGCCAAAGTTTCTGACGTTCTGAGATTTCCAATATTTTTCCATCTCTCTATTCTCGAAGTATGCTCTCACCAATTTTAATCGATATATAATGGAATATTTATATTTTCATTGTGAAATGGTTTTATTAGAAAACTACCCTCGATCACACGAGGAATGAAACTATTTAAGTTTTCAACGGAAACAAATACAAGCGTCATGCAAGGGAAATGAACGCCCGTTGATGACGGCGCAAAGATACAACTATTCGTGCTTGATGGATGTCCGTGTTGCATCTGAAAAATTGAAGGAGCACTGGCGTGAGGTGTGAACTTGCAATGCTCCGCTGCGCTGTATGCTTCAAATGAGGTAGCGCTCAAATTTAGGAGAAAATTAAAAGGCAGGCCCGATTACCTCTCTCCTATCTTTGGATATCCTGAAAATCGATTTTTTTCTCTCCCTCCTCCCCCAAATTTGACGTCTGGTTCTTTTTTAGAGTATTCTTGTAGACCCATATCTAAAGCTTTTTTGTACCGGCCCCATACATAACCCGCGGGTCACATGTTTTTAGGAAGCCTCAGGTTAGTTTGGCCGGGCGTGGACATCAAAGGGGTAATATAGGCCTACCATTGTTATCTTTAATACTCTCCTCTGTATCTCCTTAAAACATAGGGAATGCTGGACGTGTAATAACTTTATTTTTGAAGATTACAGCATGGACGCATTTGTTCATGCTGCTGTGACGGGACTTAATATTTCTTTTATTTTTATCTAAAAGTAGATATGCCAAAGTAACCCTAAGCCGACTGCAGTCAGTGTACTTCAAAACTTTGAAAAAAAAATAACAAATTTCATTTAAAGCGTCAATAAAAGCGTGGCATTTTTAAATCAATAAATAAAAAAAAAAAAAAACTTATTGTAAAATGTGATTAGTTCTTTCAGAGCAGCCGTAATATTATTTTAACACTATGATGTACACCCTGTGATGAACTATAGAATTTTTGCAAGAATTTTAGAGGTGTGGAATTCCAAGTTCAAGAATCGGTCAAATAATTAAAAGAATCCAGGAATTGAATTCTTGTCGTGGGACCAGAACAGCAGAGCAAATGGAACGCCAACCACTTGTCTACCGCTGCGCCACCTCAAGAATTTGCTTTTGACCCCGCAGCTAAGATTATTTGGACCCACGGAGGTATTGCAATTGGCAACTGTCTTCAAGTTGTGCGTACACATCGAGCAGAGTTGCAAAACTTGTTGAAAATACATCGACGTGCTAGTACAACACTTGGACTTTGAAACTCTTTTTATCTAATGCGACAACTATCACACGGGTCCCATACACTTGGATAGCTGTAAAGCCACTTTATATGCTGTTTAGTTCAGCTTTTTTCATAATGTACTTTATGGCCTCGTGAGCAATATTATTTTCAATGTAGCACAATTTTATTGTGCGTGAGATAAACTAAGTTGATTCCTAGCTTCGTGCTGTTCCCTTTTAATTACGATTTTTTGTTCTTTGTTGAGAGCTCCTGCAATTTATTAAACACCTACTTACCATTCTATTTCTATACTCAATATTGGTTATTTACTGGAGAAAAGGTGTTCTAAGCAAAATTTCTGTAGTACCAATTTTCGGAATTATCAATACGTGCAATAAATTAATAACAAAATGAGGTCAAAACTTGAGCATTTTTGTGCAATTTCAAAGATATCGTTGAGAATTAAGGTTTTATATTAAGTGTCCGTCGGTTTTTAGAGGTCAATAATTTTTACCACCAGGTGAAAAAAAAACAAATACCATCTCAAGCATCTTTTAATTGCCTGTAAAATTTTCGATGGCGCTTCGAAATGCTATAAATGTTAATATTCCTTTCTTTCTTTTGTCTTCTTATTTTTTTATCATGTTCTCTACTTTCATTCGCAAAGTTGCGTGTATTGCAAGTGGAGTGTTTTGGCTCAATCGCGGAAAAAGTGTCAATTTGCGGCACGTCCACATTCCAGATAAAAGTGAGAAATGTTGGAGAACTAATTTTCATATTTACGCATTAAAGTTCTTTCGGATTATTATCTGGTATTCAAACTTGTCCTCTGAAGACCTCCTAAACTTTTCTGAGTATGTTTTAAAACTTTCATGTTAATTACACAACGAATTATTCTTGAGCATTTTTCTTCGATTGACAGTACGAGTAACCAACATAAAAATATTGATGTCACCGTAGCGAAAAAATTGCCCAGTACACTAAAATCGACAAAACTGTTGAAAGTCATAAAATGAGGGCCGCGTTGAAGCGTAACTTATCCGCTGATTATATACGGGAGGAGTGAAATTCACCTTGAAAACGAAAGTGACATTTAGTGGGTGGAGAGGTCCTCAGTGACTGAGGTGCGAGTCAAAGTTGTGCGGGTGAAAGTTAGTGTGCACTGAATTATTTGCGAAAAAGAAAAATCTTATCTCGAGAAAATCAAAAGAAGATCCAGTGATTCTCAATCCAGCAAATGCACGGCATGATCGACCATATTATCATGCGTTTTGAATACAAAAGTTGGAGTCTTAGAAAAGTCAATGAGAATTTTTAGGGAGATTTGATTTATTTGAACGTTTCAAACACACACATGGGTATGATACGTCCGAATTTAAACATACATACATTAAGCCGCTTTTATAGAGCAGCTTCGCGCTCTGCGACGCCCAATCGCCATTGCCCCCTATCTTCCTAGAGACCATCAGGCAGTTGGCACCTTCTGATCTCCTCCACCCCTTGTTGCCAACCTTTCACAGGACGTCTACGTCGTCGCCTTGCGAATTTAAACAACAAGGATTAGAAAAACGATGAACGATGCTTAAGAAAAATGATTTTAGTAGCCTCATAACTGTATCCTCGTCATACTTACCGCACCTGCAAAAGAACCGAGGCTGGATAGAATCTCTTGCGATTTTAAGATCATAATAGTTGCATAAAATCATGCGTGACAGGAATGTACGGAGTATGTTCTACATTTTTATTTTCTCTAATTGGCGAAATTGTATCACGTCTAATTTTTTGGAAGAATTTCTTTTCTCGTCTTATCTTCGAAAAAAAAAGAAAAAAAATTGCATCAGCTCAACGCATCATGAATAAAGCATGCAGGAGTTTAAGTTGAACTTTTGACATCTTCACTTCACTTTATTGGAAATCCACCTCAGGAATTCCAGAGTTGTGGCTTTTTTCATGCGATTAAAGTTTAAAAAAGCTGATCGTCAGCTGATTTCAGACAAATAACTGACCATTCTACCATGTTATGAAAAAACACGGTGCTAACGAAAATTAGGCTATTAAAGAAAATCGACTTTAACATTGGCTTGATTACACGACGTTTTATGGACTTCTCAAAACGAGTAGAATAGGGTTTTAAAATATCAACTTACGGTAAATACCTATTATGTCCTTTTATACTGTGTTCTTTCTTTGCAGCAGGCCAATTATTGAAACTATATCGGTAAGACAGGACAAGACAGATCTCTATCTTTACCATAAAATACACATAGTTTCGCTGATTCGTCATGCCACCGTAAAATTTCAATGATCGGCCCACAGGGCTGGCATACGTCGTCACCTTCCAGCCAAAGTTTACAGGCGCCATGTGACGTTTAAAAATTTCGGCCGCCATTTTATTTCTTTACAAAGAAATTTTTGGTTGAATCTGTTTGAAAATTGACTGAAAAAAAACAAAACTTTTTACATTTCGAATTAATATCTTATTTTAATTTCACTGAATTTTATCGGCAGCACAAACAAAATTCAGTAAAATTTTTGGACAGCTTCGTGGAACAATTTCTTTGTAAAAAAAACCAAAATGGCGGCGGAAATTAGTAAGCGTCACATGGCGCTTGTGATGCTTTGGCCGGAAGGTGACGATGTGTGATTTCGGATCTCTGGTGAAGCTTCCACCGGTCCTTACCGCGATCGTGTGCAAGCGCCCGAAACTTTAAGAACCACTGATACAAACCGTCGAACAACGGTGAAACCCAAAAAGCGTCGATAAGGATCAGATCGGACCAAATCGGACCGCTCGATTTCAAGGTTACACGCCGGCGTGAGAAGCGGACCGACCCGGGCTGGACGTCGGAGGCGGGGGCAAAAAGCTCGCGCGCGAATAATTAAGAATTAAACATGGAAATTGAACACGGGCAGCGGCAAAGAAAACGAAACTTGATGGAAACGGAACACTGCCATAGGAGATGCGCTACCGCGGAAACGGATCGGCGGGGCGGGGGCAGTGTCGCGATGGGTACAACATACCGGTTTTCGCTGCCGGATAAAAGACGCCGGGGCCTCGACCGCCGCTCATTTCTCCGTGACCGCCAGTGCCGTGATTTTCCGTCTCCCGCGCGCGTGACCCCTCTATCGCGGAAAGCTCCCTATCGCGGAAAGCTCCAAGTGCCCCCCAGTGAAATGAAAGGGTTGAGCGTGATTGTTCTCACGGTTGTGGCCGGCGTGGCCCTAGCGGGTCCGATCGGGGATGAGGCCCGCGGCATGGACAACAGCCTGCCCAACAAGCCGGAGGTCTCCCTCGCAGAGGAGAACCTCATGAAGCGCCTCAACGCCAAGTGCAGCCAGAAGGACACCTCCAGCTGCATCATGCTCAAAGTGATAACCTACATGAACCGCCTCATGAAGAAGTCCAACATCCAGGTGGCCGACAACATCCAGATCACGCAGACGGCTAACGCGGATCCCAAGGTGGAGCAGAGCCGGGAGCAAAGGGCCGTCCCTTTGAACGCCGAGGACGATGAGGCCGCCGTCGGGGACCTCATCTCCGACAAGTTGTGGAGTTTCGTCAAAACGCGCTCCTTTAAGTGGACCGTCCTCCCCGAGGCTGATGTCGTCATCTCCTCCAACCCCCAGGAAGACGGAACCATCAACCTCGGCATGTCCTTCCGCACCGGAAAGGCTCTGGAAACCGGTAAGTTCTATTGATTTTTAACGGGACGTCGGGAAGGTTCAGTGCAAAAATCTGCTAAGTGACACTTTTTACAAGAAATTGAGGTCCTTTCCGGCATTGTTATGAGGTATTTTAGGATGTAAGCACATAGTTGGAGGCAAAAACATGAAGACATGACCGTCATATAGCAATTTAGAGACGTAAGGTATTTAATTCCATGAAAAAGACAACATTTTAATTTTTCCCCCGATTTTCTTAGAACTACCAAAAATGCATCTAGCAGATTTTTGCATTGGACGCTTCGTTTCGAGCTCTATGTGAAGGACGTAAAAAGTTGGTTAAAAAATGGTTAAGCAATGAAAATACGTATCCCAATTTGCAACGCTGCGAACCTTTTACAGCATTTACTTTTAATCGAAAAAACCAACTAGTTTTTCATTTTTCGCATATTTTTCCCCTTCAGTATCCAAAAATATCCTAACTTTTCTGTTGCCAATTATTTATCTCTTGATACATTTAAAAAGACCGGAAATTTTATGAAAAACTGTAAATGGGATACGTGGCTTTTCTTTAGTTTAACCATTGATACACAACAATACTGGCAAGAACCGCAAAACAAAACTTGAAGCCAAGTCTACTATGTCTCAAAATTATCTCTATTGTGTCTAATCTAAAAAGAGCATAATTATACCTGAAATAAAATTAATTATAAAAAAGTTTACTTCATCTTGAGCCATGCTGACTATTACTTCTAAGTTTTGTTTTCATGGTTTTCCCTGTATAATGTAAAAATAAAGTGAAATTCGAGAAGAACTTTTTTTGCACGTTAAATTTAGAAAAAAGCGTCGCAAGAACAATGTGATATCTTTGAAAAAATTTGACGTATTAGTCACTTGAAGTAAATGTTTCACAGATGATCAACCCTGAAATAAAAAAGCACCTTTTTGAGCTGCAAACTTTCTCTTGCGTCTCATTGACTTGGAGAATTTAAGACAATATCATCACGCGGAATCTGCGCGACTTTTTTGCTTATCTCAAAAAACATTTTCTTGACTTTTTACGGGAAAATCCATCGATGCGCAAAGGAAAAATTAACCAGAGGGATAAGTTTTCGCCACAATAATGTAAAGTAACATATTTCTGAAACAATCGAAACCAATCATTCTTAAGAATTAACATCTGATCGCAATTGTATCCGAGCGTAGTAACCAGGGCAGATGTTTAATTTTTAACGATTCCTCACGAAATTACAAAATTATCCGACCGAGCACCAGCAAAACAAAAGCAATATTGAGGCCAAAATGCTAACAGGAGCAAAAACGAAGACTTTAAGCTATCAACCACCATGTATAGGAAAATTTAATAAAAAGTCAATGTAATTAATTAAGAGGGAACGTAAACATAACATTAGCATACCATGACATCATCGTATTCAAGTTTTCCACGAGCTTGTAACTCGTGATATGGAATTCCAGCAGGATTTCAACTTTTCAAGCTTTTCTAAATATTTAAAAACGGTTCGCACCCACCTCGTAGGGAAACTCAAATGAAAGGTATTCTTTTCTTTGAGTAATGTGCCCTCTTATGATTGCATAAAAGTTAATGAGTCAAATTTAATCAACATTGTAAGATCGCATGGTAGCCACTGTTATATTTCCACCAGAACAACTGAACAGCGTTGACCAGAGTCAACCTAACAACATCAGACGCTGCATACTCTTATTTTGTATTTTATTTTATTTATAAGGCAACTAAAAAAAATTCTGCCATGGAATTTTATTAGTAGATCTTCCTCTGAGTAAACTGAAAATTTACAAAAAGTATGCAGACATTATGCGGCCTATTTATCCTATAAAAAATTAAGCATGAGAGTAAAAAATTAAACCTAAATTAGTAACCATGAAATGCGGTTAGACTGATCCGATTTATTTTATTTAATCCATCTATCTATAAAGAAAATAAGATAAGTTCTTTCACTTTCCCTTAAATAGTCCAAAAAAGGTGTGAAGATCTTTAACACGAGGTAGACGGAATATGGGCGATTAATAAGGAAAAGAGAAACAACCAAGAGGAAACCATTCATCGAGTTTTTAACTTGTAGGAGTTGTAGGCACTATTTTTCAAGAGGTAACAGAGCATCATTTGAGATGAAGATTCCCGTGAATACCGTTGCTTGTTTACCAAACGTGCACCGAAACCTTGCCAGCGTCATTATAGCCGATGCACCTGACGGTTCCTTAGGAATGTTTTCTGGATATAATTAACTTAGAGCACTAGTCATCGTCCAAAACTGGGGGCAACGTGTACTTTACTTGGTTCCTAACCGCAAGTCGTAAAAACCAGAGGACGGAGAAAAGTCATTGAACGCAATGCTGTCAGTTTTCAAAATTAGAAGCTCGGTCGTAAATCATCGAAAAAGTATGCTTTTTATATCATCGGTGAATTCAAGACGAGATGCACAAAAAATTATTCAATTTTTGGGATCTAAAGAAGGTCAGTTACTCGTTGAGAAGATATCGTAATTTTCAAGGAAAATGATCGACGTTATTTACAACAGTGTAGGGCATACCATGGGCTTTTCCACTTTGGTTTTATTTGGTAGAAAAGATACCACGTAGAGCAACCTCTGCAGATGTGTACATCTTTTCTTGATAGTTGGAAAACAATGTGGGAGCCATGGTATTGTGTGGAACCATGGGTACAGATTCCACGACACGTGACGTCAACTGACATCTTTTTGAAGCAGTGGTGTGGCGCGCTTTACGATACATGGATTGATCTGTCACCTTAACCTATGGAAAAAGATGTATGAACAGGGTGCCCGCAATGGACACCTTGATAATCGATTCTTTCCCACAGTTTACCAAAGCGCCAGGGACCCATTACCAATCTTTATGCCGATAAAGTGGAGTTCCCCCTAAATATTCAGTACTATGGGGCTCCGCCCCCTTACCGCTACGCGGCCCAACCCCCGGAACGCTGCGCGCCCTCAAAGACCGCGTCTTATTCTTCGCACTCCCCTTCCTCACCCCGTCCAATGAGCGTAAAAATGATTTTATCAGAATTTTCCCACTATTACGGACTTTGAACTCCAGCCCATCGACCTTCTTACTCCCCTTCCTCACGTCGTCCATCAAGCGTCTTAAAAATGATTTTATTAGAATAGAGAGGATTTCTGAAAATATATATTTTCCTGGTGAAAATGCTGTTTATAGGCCTGAGAAAGGCAACGACGGCTCGGGGAGAAGGAAAAGTGAAGTAGCGGAAGGTCAGCAAATAGCTTCTATTCTTTTTGGTGGGGTCCATTATCTGTGAGCCATCACGGGATAGTTTTAACTGCCCAACTATCTCGGTCTCGCTTCGAGCTCCCGGCTCCTCATGACCTACTCAAGTACACAAGCACACTTCATGTCTCCTCTCGCCGCTTCCCAGGAACATCACACATCGAGTCTTTCATTGTTGCTACATCGATCTACCGGGCGCCGGAAGCGCTGTGAGATATTCCCTAGTTTCAGGAAGACATATGAGGTCGGTGATCAAGATTTTAAAATCCACGCACCTGTGGTGTTTTATTCGAGAGCAAGAAGAAATAACTTCATTAGCAGCCCCTTTGTTCAGGAAGTCAGGACTTCTCACAGGTCTGCTGTTGCAACCCATTGCAAAGATCATGTGACAGAGACATCTTGAAATGAGGACCTATCGTTTCTGGCTCATTTCAGAAAAAAATAAGTGCAATTTAGCTCCCCTATGCTCTGATCGATATAATTTTGTGATTAAACAGAAAATAGTAGTTCCTCCTTGCAAAACACAGCTCCATAGGCTTTTAGACAAGGCTTGAACACAATCACTGCGCAACATGTTTCCTCAAAATTTAACTTTGGAAATGAATCACTCGACGGAAAGTGTAGAAATCAACCCCTACATAATATAAAAGTGTCTACCATGAACATTAAATCGTCGCCTTCCTAACATAAGGGCGTAACTGAACTCGACGATGAGCCCTGTTCTCCATAAAACTCATTGCTTTCTTGGGCTTATCTCAAATTGTAATTACGTCTTTTTGTTAGCCCAGCGACGAAATATACGGAAAACTACGAATTGACGTCCTTTATATTCCAACTTTAATTTGATATTCTTAATTATCCGTGTTGATATCTTGTCTACGAGATGATTTCCAAACTTCCCATTGTGTAGACAGTTTTCTACGTACTTTTTTTTTTTTTTTTTTTTTGAGGATTATGTGACTTTTTTCTGATCTAGACCTGTCTCGTGGTTCAGTGGATTGGTTACACCATACTAACTTATCTGTAATCTGTGGGATTTACCTATCGAAATATAGTTCTAAGAAAGCTACTTATTGACTGCCCGATCTTTGGAAAATTAAGTGAATTTATCATCTGATCATAATCATAGTCCTTAAAATTTCCTAGAAACAAGTTGCAACCGTGCAGCTCTTGTAAATGTTCTCGTTACGCGCGAGCGTTGTATCAATGGCACTGTGAGGTGGTTCACACCTGTTCCATTTGTTTGACTCGAGTGTTACCTCTCGGATGCTGAAGACTCGGTGGAATCAAAAATGCATTACGTGTTAATGTCTGAGGAGGAGAAGGAGAGGTAACTTTAAATTGGTCATAAAGACAGAGAGTGTGCCTTAACTTCTCGAGCACTGATGTTAATGCTTAGATTCCTCGGTTCTTTGAGAGTCCTCATTAATTCGTCTGCACAAGCAAACGATTGAACTTTTTCAATATTATATAGTTGGAGCTTAAAGAAACGCATATTTAGGACAGGAACGATACGATTTCATGAATCTTGAAAACCGCACGTATGCTTGGATGATATTATACTTTCCACTTTCTCATTCAAGAAAAAGGCCAAACTTAAACATACTGAGCATATACAGATTGGCACATGTATCACTAAAAAAGCCACCTTTTTTGACTACTAATATCCTTCACTACAGTGTTCACCCTCTGAACGCAACGCGGCTTAACTCTCAAAGGACGCATTGCGCCCTCTAA